GCATTGGGTTTCTACCCGATACACTAGTTTGTATAGTGTGGGATGGGGGGGGGGGGGGGAGTATGAAGAGACGATAAAAAGTTTTTAGCATCGTTCTCATATAAATTACTCTATAATTAGGCAACCGTCTTACGTCGCGTGTCTAACGGCGATGATAATTTATTATGCAAATTTTTCAGCAGATTTGTCATTTTTCATGACTGCTTCTAGCGAATATTGTTTTTCTTTCTTATTTTCTGTTGATTTTTCCTCTTTAAGGGAAATTATTTGATTGAATACGGAAGGATGATTTTTGAGATTCTGTGAATTTAAATTAATTTTGAATTTTCCAAAGCACCGCATTAAAATAATCACAATGCACATCTGAGACTGAGATAATATTTAATTATCGAGGATGGATGGATGGATGCATATTTATATGAGTTACTGTGTCAACATTTCTCAATGAATCTAGTCCCTAAATGTCTGAAAATATATCCGCTTTGAAAGTTTTACTACTCATGCCTTTTATCTCGGCATTCAATCAACATCATAGAATTGTCATCCACTCTCGTCAAACAAATAACAATGCACGATTTTCTTTTTTGTATGCATCTTTTTTCCTATTTTATGTAGTTTCATGTGGTGCTGATTTGACTGGATGTTTGACTGGATCTTGTTGTGCAGAACTGATATTTTACGGATTTAAGTATGTAATTATGATTTGTGTTGATTACTGTTCTTTTAGGCAGAGTTTTCAATAGATCAAGGCACTTCAAAGTGGTTGATTAAGGCACAATTTGTGAATTCGTTATTCATAAATTTTGTAACGAATTCATTCAGTAAGTAAAAGTTCATTTTATTTCAGTTCATTTCATTTAAATTTCTAAAAATCCGGTAAATTTCTAAATCCATACACGTGATTAATGCGCTTTAACTATTAATGCAACAGTTATTTATGCGCGTTTTCCTCATACTGCATCAACTCCACCGTACATACAATTATTTCGTACATTTTTAAAAAACACTAGCATTCGCATATACATTTAAGGGTTGATCTATGAATGACGAAATGATTGTCATAGTTAAGAATAAAAAAGAAGAAAAGAATAAAAATTGGAATTTGAAAATAAAAAAAACCACATCATATTGTTATGACTACCCCATTTGAAATTTTCACAGAGATATTCAACCGATGTTGGCAACAATAAAAAGCCGAGCCGCAAAAAAAGGAATTTAAATCCTCGTCAATGAATACATAGGGAAGTGCGAAGGAGGAGAGGGAATATGAGTTGTTGAAAAGCTTCGGTTTTGTCATCAGATACCGAGAGACATACAGAATAAAAAAAAATTTTTTAAACAAGCAATTGAGTCAGTCAAGATTTACCGCTCAACGAATAAAGTTGGAAAGAGTTTGAGAAAAATTTAGACAGATTAAGATGTTTACATTGGGATATTATCAGTTGTGAATTGTGATTCTGGTTGTTAAGAACTGTTTCTTTTTCTTCTTGTTAAAGAATTTAGTTTTCGTGATAATCCTTTCGAGTAAGTTTGTGGAATTTAAAAGAATTATTTTTCTTGTGACATTTAAGAATTTAAGGATTTTTTTAAAATGTCACTGACTTTTTTTTGTAATTGAGAAGCTGATTAATGGATTGCATAAATTATTTGTGTCAATTTTTATGCACATTTAATTGATTAATGACAACTATGCAGGAAATTTGATGTAATAATAATAATAATGTGTGAAGGGCCCAGCCTTTCAGCTGGAGGCACTGCGATTCGAATTAGAACAGAATCTATTAAACCACACCCTTTAACCCCCCAAATTTGATGTAAATGTCAGTGAAATTTATGAATGATATCATTGTAAGGCAGTTAAATTTGAAATTTTGAAGAATCTTTCAATCTCTTTTTTGGAATTGTATGGTTTTGAGACTTTTGACAAAACATTTGTGAGGTTTTCAAACACAAAAATGTTTTGATAACCAAACCAGATCAAACAAAAGCTATGTTTTTGTCCGTTCGAATTTAAATCATAAAATTTTCGTTCAAAAATCACTGCGAATCAATTGTGAACGACAATTGAACAAAATTATAATAATCTAATGCTTGAGCTTCAAATTGCTTAAAGTATCTAACGGTCAATGCTTGAATTGCTTTGTATTCAAACTATTTTAAATCCAACTCATTTGGGCTAATAGTCATCAACATAGCACTTGATGTTAAATTAAAATATTAAGCGTCAATTTCCAAAAAATCAAAATCATTAACAATTCATCAAATTAATTTCAACACATTAAATATTAAACATAAATTTATAAGTTTATAAAGGTATAAACCCCAAATAAATTTGCATCAAAAATTGTTTAATCTCTGGATGTAAATGGATCGTTAATTCTCTCTTTAAATTACTATCAATATCAGAGATATAAAAGAAGAAATTAAATTTCCGCAAGTTACACAGCAAATGCGTCTGTTAAATATCCGGTTGAATAGCACAATAGTACAGCATATTCATACATATTCTATGAGAAATAAGATCGTCACATTTAAAAAGTGTATATTCATTTCAATTATGACAATATCTCTTCCATATAATGTGTTAAAAATGGAATTGAGAATTGTAGGAGTGGAAATAAAAAAATGTTTAAATATGAGAAGTTTTGAAGCATTTAACATCATCATTTTTGCATTTATAATAAATCTGAAAACATTTTATGTTCAACCCTCGAGAATCGTCATGATTCATGCATGATAATAATAGAATTCTTCAATTTTGAATGATGTGAATCAGATCTAGCTAGATGTGGACGAGAAATTAAGGAATTTTATTTATAACTGTCATTTTTGTTTTGAATTTTGTTAAACAATTTTTGAAAATCCAACGCAAAAAACAATGATTTAATTTTAAGCTTGTAAGACAGAAAAATGTAACTGGATCTTGTTAAACATAAAGAACTTTCATAGATCTATTGATTAATCAAATTATTAATCTTGATTATACTGAAATTAACTTAGTTTTTTGTGATTTTTCGTTTGATAAATTTGATTTGTTTACAAACTTAAAAAACTTCGTTTAAAAATTGCAAAATCCCAAAAACCGTTAAATTTTCAAGATAAGATTTTCAATTCAAGCTATACATAATAAAAATCATCGCAATTCAGGCAAGCAAATCAGTTCTATCAAAACTATTAATATAGCCATCCTTTGGTTGCAAAAATCTCTCTATTTTTATAAATATTCAGTAAAAAAAGAATGTTTAACACATCATCGTCATCATCTGTATTCACATCCCTCAATCCGATTATTCTGTTGATTATTCTCAAATGGATGATTCTTGAAAAACAATTTTTCAACAGCACACAAAAAATATAAAAAGTGAAAAATAAAAATTCGCGCATGATTTGAGTTGGAAAAGCCGTGTGGAGGAAAAAAGCGATAAACGACACATGTTGATTTTGATTGAGATGTGATTCAATTTTTTACGGACTATTATAGATGTTGGAAAATATGTTTACTCTCATTCCAAATGAATTCACAATTTTGATTTCAATAAAATTCAGCTAGTATTAAAAGATGAAGCCACCGAAGCAATTAAAGTACGCGACAAACTTTTTTTATTGCTGTTTCAAGACAAATAAAAACTTTTTTCCCTTTTTCCATTCCTTTTAATTATCAAGATTACATTGCTTCATCGTCATTCGCTAAACGATTCTTTCTTTTCATCTCTCCACCCCCAATACTTTTTGTTCTTCTTGTTATCCTCTCTCACATCCACTCTACTGTGGAGATTATGACAAAAAAAAAAATATGATAAAGAAGAAAATTCTTCTCAAATGAGCAGCACAACATCATTTTTTTGCATTATAATAATTTAAAACTTCTTCCTTCCTATGAAGGATATCAGTGGAATATTATTTACGATTGTCATCGTTTGGTAGTTGCGGAATGAGTTTGTATAAATAAGGAGGAGGTGGGGTGGATGAATAAGAAATGATTATTAAAAAAATCTGTTCCACTTTATATTTGTCATTTATTGTTATTACCATCGTTGATGTCGTCGCTTTATATTTTTGACATATTAAAGGAGTATTGTAGGCATGTAATTGATTTGGGGTGTCATTTGCGCATTTTTGTTGCTATTATGAGCTGTTAATGAACAAAAAAAATTGTCATTCAATCCTAAAGCTTCAATGTAGCTGTTTTGAACGATTTTTCTTTGAATGTCTTTAAAAACATCAATTCATATTTCAAGAATAACGAGAATAACCATAACTGCTTCAAAAAAAACCCTAGTTCTTACGGATCTGCTTGGAGAGCTAGGAAACATGTGACCACAATTTAACAGTTTTGTTTAAAAATTTGAATTTAAGATAACAAAATATTGAATTCAAATTCTGAAAATACGATAAACATTCAAATCTGAATAATACGTTAAAAAAAAGAAATTACGAAAATCAACTGACTTTTCAGTACTTAGAGACAAAATTAGACACTTTAAAATAATGTAAATTGAAAACGTGCTGAAAAATTCATTTCCAACTTCTCATTCCTCCAGAAAAAAGTTATGAATGACAAAAAAAAATGATACGACCAATTTCACAACCCACCCACAGAAGCGCTCAATTTAAAAATAATAAACTCAGTCGATGATGAGAGGGGTGGAAGGAATTTACTTCATCATTAGCAGATTAAACCGCACAGATTGTTTGATATTTTAAATCTTCTCTCTCCCTACAACTTTATTCTCAACCTCACACCATTCTGTCTTCATTCCTTTTGGAACGAAATAAAATCTTTTATTATTTTTTAAACGAATAAGAACCGAAGTCCCACGAGAGGAGCAGCTATCAAATAGATGAAAAATTAAATTTATCTTAGACGAAACAAAAGATTTAAACAATGGAGTTATCTTGAGACAATCCTTAAATTCCTTCAATTTATTTGAATAGCAATTCATAGTCTGCAGAAGGTGTATTATATCTCATGTTGTTCCTTTATCTTCATCTTATTTTAGATGGCATTGAACGACAAAGATTTGGAAGTGAAGAAAAAACCCCATGAGATGGCAAATGCTGAGTTTGTCAGTAAATTAATGGGTAAGTATGTTGCTGCATTTAGCAGTGCTTGATGTGAGATACTAAAAATTGCAGATCGACTTCATTCTTGCCTGAAAACTGTCAAATGATATTCAAATTAACCGTACAATTAATTCCTTACAGCTGCAACACCTTCATACTTCTTCACACCACCTACAGCTGGTCACAACTTCTTCTTCAGCGAATTACTTCGATCACTCGTCCAAAAACGTAAAGCAGAGGAGCTAAATGCAGCTATGAAGGCAAAAACAATTCCTAAAAAGGTACGAAAGATGACACCGCCATTTCAGCAATTTCAACAGCAAAAGTCACCGAATGAGCAGGAATATAAGAAGCCAAAATTAGCCGAGGAAGTGAAAATCACAGACTGTATTGAGAATGATCAGGAAAATAGTCAAGATTCTGTTATTAATGTCGATAAGGATGATCCACCAGCGACATCAAGTAATACAGCACCAAATATTCCAGCATTAGCACAGTCAGCATTTTATCCGTACGTTGATCCACTGCATTTTTTCATCGATTTGAGAGTTTCAGCAGGTCAAATTTATGACAGAAAGAAGGAAGCATACTTACAACAAGCACTGAAAAATAATAACATCCTACTAGAATCAGGTGCTTGGAATAACACAAACAATCCAATAATTGGAAGAAATCGAGCCAATTCAGCATTTAAAGTTCCAATATCACAAAGTGAGCAGCTACAGAATTTTAATGCAATGAATTTAATTTCCAATCAGCAGCATCTAAGTCAAATGACGGAAGCATCAAAAACTTTCCAGAAAATCTACAAGACATCACGCTCGGATGACGATGAGACACAAGAAAATATCCAAAAAAGTGATGAGGATGTTCAAATTTTTGATTTGGACAAGACAAACAAATAATTTCAAATTTTTATAAAGTTCATAACCAATTTTTTACTTTATTGTCTTTCTCGTTGAATCCAAAACTACTTAATTTATAAATCAAAAAATTAAACAAACATCATCAAAAATTGCTTTTCTTTCTTTACATTCCCAATATCGTTCTAAGTACTTTTTATCATCATTTCTCTACATAATTCAATTTCAATTGATGAAGAATATCAAATAAATTAACGGTTATTGCATGCAGCAATGAGTTTCTTGTGGATATGAGCATGTGATTGCACAAAAAATAGAAGATTAAATTTTTAACAACTTTTAATTTTTTGAATGAGTTTTTGGCGAATTTCAAATTTTTGAGATCCGTTAAAATTCAAATTTTGAGAGTTGTTTTGTCCAAGCACATGTTCACATCGTGATAATATGTTAAGGTTAACATAATAATTGTAATTTAGAATAAATTAAAGTTTTCATTTTACAACTTAAATTTGATGAAATTTCATTTCATTATTTTTTGTGTTCCTAGTAATCTTATCTCGATAATTTTTTAATTCTTAGCACAAGATTCCTTCATAAAGATTCGTTATGCTTCATAGTAATTTTTATGTCTACGATTTCTTATGCAATACAATGTTGTGTATTTTATTGGAAAGGATGGAAGGTGGGACAGTCGATTCTGTAATTGACTAATATCTTAATTAAAATAATAAAAGTTCGTATCTTTTTAGCGCATTTTTGAAACTTGTTTCTAAAAGGTAGCTTAATATCTCACTATGTCTGTTCGTTCGGGCGGAGAAAAACTTTTTAACTAGACATCGTAGAGAGTTCTAGTTTGTTTTATTAGCTCAGGTCCATTGTTTTATTTTCGGGAAACGCATTTAAAAGTCTTGAAACAGTGTTTTTGTACTATAATTAATGATTTTTATATTTCATATGAAAAAACACGTGATGAGAGCGTTTAGAAATTTGAATTTATTTTTACCGTTGAAAAATTTTGAACCTCAAAAAACCGTTGAATTACTGTTATTTATACTATAATTAATGCTTTTACTGTAATTTTTGGCAAGATACTTTCAAATGCATACGACCGTTACAAAATTTGAACTTCAGAAAACCGTTAAATGATAAACAATTTATATAGGAGAATGAAAGATATTAAATTGTTAAATATACTATAATTAATGATTTTTTGTGCATCTTTTGGCGGAAAGCTTTCAAAAACTTACTGACCGTTAGAAAATTTGAATCTCAAATAATCGTTAAATGATAAACTTTTTATGTATGGAAATTCATTGCTACAAATTATTAATTATACTATAGTTATTGTGTTTGAAGTGCAAGTTTTAGCGGGAAAATTTCAAATTATTTTTTGACCGTTAAATAACAAAGCCTTTCTTTATAAGCATTCATTGTAATTATTTGCTAATTGCACTAAAATTAATGATCTTCCAATCTTCTAATGATCTGTAAATGAACGCAAAATAAATAGATAATCAAATACTGATCGCTAACACAAAAATGCGCTTACACTGTTTTTTCGTTATAAGCTACTACTCGTTACTAAGCTACTAGCTCAGTAAAGTTTTTTTGAACTTGAAAATTGTTTGTACTCTTTACTAAGCTACTACCAAAAATAAAGTTTAACTAATCTTTTTCAATTTGCTTAGTATCAGTTTCAATGCTTTATGACATTGTCAATGAAATGAAATCGAGAAGATAGCAAAATTTCTTTAATTAAGTTAAAAAATTCAAAATTTTCATTAAAGTTCAATTTCTTTACTAAGCTACTACTCGTTACTAAGCTACTAGTGATCCAAAAAAATTACTTTTTTATTCTTCTAAGCTACTAGCTTATAACGAAAAAACAGGGTAAGTCCTTCGATCAATAACACGAGGACTTCTGTAATTTTTTTTTGTTTGTTACAGGTTAGGTTGAGACGATATTTTTTTTCCTGATAAGCGCTTACTTTTAATTTTATTAACGAATTAAGGTGCGAAAGTAGAGGACGAAATAATACGATGTGGAGATCGCTTTAAGAAACGTAGAGCTTCAATATCTAATCGATGTAATAACTATTGTATTTATGCTAATCGTTCACAGATAGCATTAGTAAATTCAGAGCACTTTGCCTTGCCACCCAAATCTCCTGTCAAATATTTAGCATCTTTAATTGTTTCAAAGCATGCTTTTTGGATGCTCTCTGCTTTATCCTTCATTTCCATATGACGCAACATCATGACGGCTGAGAGAAGAAGTGCAGTTGGATTAGCTAAATCCTTTCCAGCTATATCTGGGGCTGTTCCATGGACACTTTCGAAAAGTGCACCTCCTAATCCGATGTTTCCTGATGGTGTCAATCCCAATCCACCGACTAAACCAGCACACATATCAGACAAGATATCACCATACAAGTTAGGCATAACAAGGACATCATATTGACGTGGATCTTGGACCATGTTTAAACAGACTGTATCAAGATATTTCTCCTCAAACTTGATTTCTGGATATTTGTCTGCAGTCTCACGACAACATCTTAGGAAAAGACCGTCTGACATACGCCTATATTGAGATTCTTATCAGTAAAAGGAAGTTCAAATGACATATGACATTTATATACTCACATGATGTTGGCCTTGTGTACGACAGTGACTTTAGAGCGATGATTATCTTTGGCATATTGAAACGCATATTCTGCGACACGAGCTGAAGCCTCTTGAGTAATCAATTTGATACTTTGAACAACGCCTTCGACAATCTCATGCTCGATACCCGAATATTCACCCTCTAAATTAATGGAAATTAGTCAATTAGTCATTAGTATACAAAAAATTAAGGATATAAAGTTAGGCATTAATTACCTGTATTTTCTCTGATTGTGACGACATCGACATCATCATAAAGGGTTTTGTAGCCTTCAAGACTTCTGCATGGTCTGACATTCGCATAGAGATCAAATTCTTTTCTTAAAGCTAAATTCAAGCTTCGATGTCCTTTGCCTGTTGAAATAAAAATAACAACAAGATTATTTATGGAATTGGTATTTTATGCAGCATGCTATATAGAAAAGAAAGTGAAATTAAAGCAACGCAGATTTTTGGGAGAAGAAGCTGTTGATCACCTGAAGCTGTTTTTTTATTATTTTAATCGTCGATTGCCCAGTTGACATATTTTTCACAGCGTTTTATCATGCGCTCGTCATTTTTTTCAATTGCAAATAAAAGCATTTTCTCACGTGCTTCTTCTTTTCCTCATTAACTTGAACATTACAAAAAGGACAGCGATCGTTTCAGACTTTCTCGATAGTCAAGTACACGATGTAATGACGAGTCTCATCATTTGCCAATGCATAATTGGTGTTGTCAGTTCCTGGCAGCAGCAAACCCTTTTCCTTTATGATCTTTTGTTCTGCCTACAAAGGCTCAAGTTGTTGCTGATTTGGATGCCTTTATCAAGTTACACGGAGAAAAATTCAACGGTCCAATAAAAATTGGAAAATCTCACTTTGCAAAAGGAGAAAATCTGTGGGATGATATCGTGTCCAACAGATAGAAGGAAGATTCACGATTTGAGGCTCTAACAAGGAATAACGTTTTCGCTGAATGTGCTAATGTGTCAATCGCACTTACGGTGGAGTCAATGACACAGGAAATAATGGAAGAAAAGGGCTTGTTGCTGAGCCACACGTCGAATAGTGAAGGTGTTAAGTCGATTGATAGCAGCAAGCGATTTTTTGTATACCTCACGACATTGAAAGCTGAACTTCATATGTGCCCATCACCACGCTGTTCTTATGTGTCGACGCACAGTTTTGTGCTAAAACATCGTCTTGTACATAATAATATCACGGATGTGTTAGAAGCAAACAAATTTTTGGCGTCATATGGGGAACCGCCAATGGATATCCTGGTAGATCCGATACCGGTAAGTTTATTGAATAATAAAATTGATTAATTTTTTTTTGATAAAATTTCCTTGCAGTATATGTACAATCTTGTTGAGCGTCTTCTTATTTGTCAATACTGCGGGGATCACTTTATGTCTCAGGGAAACCGATCAATCCACGAAGCTTTCCACTGTGCAAAGAACCTCAACAGAAGAGAGCCCATCAAGTGTGAGCTATGTCCCGAGCCGATCATTGGAAAATCGTCAATGAGAAATCATCTCACAATGGTTCACAAGAAAGAGATTTTCACTTGCAATGTCTGTGGGGACGTGGTACTGAAAAGATCAAAGTACGGGCATATGAAAACGCATAATCAAAAAATTTGTCCTGTTTGTAAAAAACCAGTAACACAGCTAAAGGGTCACATGAAGACGCACGAAAAGCCAGTTTTGGTGCCGTGCACAGTTTGCAAAAAACCGATTCGAACGACAGAAATGACCGCGCACATGAAGACACATACTAAAAAGCCAAAACCTTGTGAGGATTGCGGAAGAGTGATTTCTTTATCGGTTATGAAGAAGCACCGCCGTTTGAATTGTCATGGCAACAAGCATCCAGACGAGCCACTAAAGAAGAAGCAACGAATTGAGTGAGTACTGAGCTCATAGCAGAGGCAAGGGAACTGCTTTTATAAAACACCCGAGAAATGCGGTGAATTTTAGAAACTTCATTTTTAAAATAGCCATTACCCTGGTGATAAAATGAATTGAGATAATCCAAAAAGAACTTTGGAAGCAATATGTTTAAGAACTTGATTAAAAAAATTTAGGATTATTAGATTTTAAGTTTTGAGGAAAAACCAGAATTTAATTTGGATCTAATGGTATTCATTTTTGTGCAGCACCGGTGCTGGCATAAGTACTATTTAAAAATCTTTTACTTGTAACGTCTTTTGATGAACGAGTAATATGAAATGTTTTGTTCTCCTTTGTTCTACTTGGAATATCTCAATCATGCTACGGACACGTCAAAAAATCCGTTATTTTTTGCTTTAAGTTAAGTTAAAAATTTGTCAATTTTAAGATTTTAAGCATTAATATTTAATTTCTAGTATTTTTCTTGGATGATTCTAGCTTAACTTAGCTAAACACGAAGCTAAGAATAAGAATCGTTTGCCCAAGCCTTGTTTTTGCCAGGGTTTGCAAGAAATATTCATGAAAATTTAACGGTTTTTTGAAATTCAAAGCAAAAAATAACGGATTTTTCGACGTGTCTGTAGCATGAAATAAATGTTAAGCATAAAGGAAATACCTATCGGAGTCATCAAAGGTCCTTTCAAGCCAACTTTATTACGATTCACGGAATCAATTGCAGCTTGTGGAATACCAAAACGTCCATCAGGATTACGAACAGGCGTTACATCCACAGATTCCCATTCGATTGGTACCTTTGCTACTTGAAAGATCTTTTGAACAGCAGCTGAAATTTCAGGACCAATACCATCGCCTGGAATTAAAGTGACTTTTTGCACACCTGATGCGTAATTACGTACATTTCCAGACGAATTGACCTAAAAAGATAGAAAGACAACAATGTAAAGCCTGAGAAATAGCCTTTTTCGTTATAAGCTAGTAGCTTAGAAGAATAAAAAAGTGATTTTTTTGGCCCACTAGAAGCTTAGTAACGAGTAGTAGCTTTGAACGAAATTGAACTTCAATGAAAAGGTAATAGTTTACTTTACTGGCTACACTTTTTTTCTCAATTTAAACAACTGTAATCTGTTTATTTATGCTTTAGAAACCATATTTAACAATTTTTACCCCGCGGACCCCTTACCCCAAGGCGCTAAAAGCTTTTTTTAAAAAATAAATTTTTAAAGTTATTTTGTAATTAATCAGTCAAACTAGGGGGCTTCGTGGGAACCGGGGGTTCTCGGGTGGGGACCACAACATAAAAGCTCTTTCGGGGGTCAAAAGCTTTCAAAAAAGCTCATTTTGAGTAGTTGATAGCAGAGGTCGAAGCCGACATGAGTTCGCTCCGGTTCGCTAAAAAACCGATTCGATAACCGGTAAATTTCTATAGAATGCACAATGATTCAGATTCGGAAAAAATGTTCAAAAATTCCTTGTGCACAATATTTTTCCAACACATTAGAAAATTGAAAGTTTTTGTTAATTTCTCTTGATTTGAATCTTTTAGCATCATCTACATAATGTTTTCGTTCATTGCTCAAAAAATTAGTCCCTAATATAAAGGATAAACATGATTTTTTACCAAAAGTTTGTAAAAGTTTATCAAAAAATATTGTGCATGATCAAATTTTGTATGAAAATTTATGTAAACTTTGATCGCAAATATCTCGAAAACGGCATCAAACGGCATGTCCTCAGTAATATGGGAGATAGATTTTAACTTAATTAATGGATTTATATAGGTTTCAGAGAGGTCTTTGGAAGACTTTTTAACTTATGAATAGTTTAAGTAGTGTAAAAATACTCAGATTTCAATTCCATTTTTAAGGCTTAATACGCAGATTTCTATTGAGTTGGTTGTTTTAGTATGTAAGGCTAAGCTTAAATTAGCTAGTAACTGCTTCCAAGACATCCAAATAACAACTTAAAGTAGAAAAAATCATATTTTTTTTTTCATACACAAATTGTAAACAAATTTTGGGTGAGATTAAATTAATGATTTCTGGAGTTAGACATCAAATTGGGACGAGATATTTTCATAGGATATGCCTCAAGTTAAGATCTTTAATCTGGCATTTAAAGGACATAGTTTAATTAACATGAAATTTTTGAATTTTTGAACATTTTTTTCGATTCTGAATCATTGTGGAATGTTAAAGTTCACAAGTGGCAGCAGAAAAAATTCTATTCAAATTTGAATCGGTTTTTTAGCGAACCGGAGCGAACTCATGTCGGCTTCGACCTCTGGTTGATAGTAAAATCTCATTGTCGCTGGGTTTAAGGATTTTCTTCGAAAATCTATTTTTCTAATGGGTTCAAGGATTTTCTTCGAAAATCTATTTTTCCAGTAGGTATAATATTTCAATTGGGTTTAAGGATTTTCTTCGAAAATCTATAATTTAAATAGGGTTTAAGGTTTTTTTTCAAAAATCTATTTTTTCAGTGGGTTCTATATTTAAATAGGTTAAAGGATTTTTTTCGAAAATCTATTTTTCTAGTGAATTCAAGGATTTTCTTCGAAAATTTTTTTTTCCAGTGGGTTTTACATTTCAATTGGGTTTAATGATTTTCTTCGAAAATCTATAATTTAAATAGGGTTTAAGGATTTTATTCGAAAATCTATTTTTCTAGTGAATTCAAGGATTTTCTTCGAAAATCTATTTTTCCAGTGGGTTTTATATTTCAATTGGGTTTAAGGATTTTCTTCGAAAATTTATAATTTAAATAGGGTTTAAGGATTTTTTTCGAAAATCTATTTTTCTAGTGGGTTCAAGGATTTTCTTCGAAAATCTATTTTTCTAGTGGGTTTTATATTTCAATTGGGTTTAAGGATTTTCTTCGAAAATCTATAATTTAAATAGGGTTTAGGGATTTTCTTCAAAAATCTATTTTTTCAGTGGGTTCTATATTTAAATAGGTTCAAGGATTTTCTTTGAAAATCTATATTTTAAATAAGGTATGATTTTTTTCGAAAATCTATTTTTCAAGTGGGTTCTATATTTAAATAGGTTAAAGGATTTTTTTCGAAAATCTATTTTTTTAGTGGGTTCAAAGATTTTCTTCAAAAATCTATATTGCAATTGGGTTTAAGGATTTTCTTCGATAATCTATTATTGTTTTTATTCCTTCTGATTAGCCTTTACAACACTTTATTTTAACAAACGCCGAACCTAGTAGATCACAACACTATTATAGAATAAGCTTTTTTGAAAGCTTTTGACCCCCCGAAAGAGCTTTTATGTTGTGGTCCCCACCCGAGAATCCCCGGTTCCCACGAAACTCCCTAGTTTGACTGATTAATTAAAAAATAACTTTAAAAATTTATTTTTTAATAAAAGCTTTTAGTGCTCCGGGGTAAAAATTGTTTCTAAAGCATAAATAAACAGATTACAGTTGATTAAATTGAGAAAAAAAGTGTAGCCAGTAAAGTAAAATTTAGCCTGTTTTTTTCACACTGATTGCGCAACAAATTTTTTCAAGGATTTTGATGACTTGAACTACTTTAATTAAGTTCAACTAGAAAATTTTCATCGAATCTTTCAAATTATGCAGCATCATCATGAGATTAATTAAGGAATCACGAGATAATTGTACATAAATTATGACTTATGAAATTTTTTCAAAGCATGGTTTTGAGCCTTATTAAACTTGATTCTTTTACTTCTCTAGATTCTTAAGGATATAATAAAGGCATACTTACAAATTGCTTAAGGAATCGCGTAGCCTGCATCTTGTTGGTTTAATTATTAAAAATTAATCGATTTGATTAGCGAAAATTACTGAAATGCGAGTAGGGGAATTCAAATTTCAAAAAACCGTTGATCCCCCTGTTAAGCATGTGTTTACAAAATTATCTCGGCAAAATAATTCAAATTGAAAAAAGTTAAATTAAAGTAAAAGTATGGAGATATCTGATCTTTTAAATTTAAAACCTGAAAATCTACCAAAAAGGAAGAAAGATGACGATGAGGAACTCGACAGCAGAACAAGAGCATCAATGGAAAGCTTAAAAAAACAAAGAATTGATGAGAAAATTCTAGAAATGGTAAATAATGCTGATGAAGATGATGAGGAACAACAAGTCCTAGATGAAAATGGCTTAAAGAAGCTTGCATTATTGTTTGAGAGACGAGTATTAAAGAACCAAGTGACTAGATTAAAGTTTCAAGATCAACCAGAGAAATTTATGGATAGCGAAATAGATTTGCACGAAGTGATCCAGCAGTTACAGCCAATAGCGACTTGTCCTGATTTATATCCATTAATGGTCTCGCTAAATATGATGTCAAGTATGTTAGAACTTCTAGCACATCCAAACACGGATATTGTAGCTATGATGATACAGATTTTAGATGAATTAACTGATGTGGATGTCCTTAATGAGAGCGAAGAAGGTGCTGAGAAGCTGATTAATTGTCTTCAAGAACAAAAAATAACAAAATTACTTGTAAGCTGTTTAGATCGATTTGATGAAACGATTAAGGAAGAAAGTGATGCTGTGCATAACACATTCTCTATTTTTGAGAATCTGACAGAATATAAGCCAGAAATGAGTGAGGAAATTGCTGAACAAGGACTTCTTGCATGGATGTTAAAACGTTTAAAGGTCAAACAGTATGATGCAAATAAGCTTTATTGCTCTGAAATCCTGTCAATTCTGTTACAAAGTACTAATGAAAATCGAATCTTGCTTGGTAAAATTGAAGGAATCGATGTCTTGCTGCAACAGCTTGCTGTATACAAAAAACATGATCCAGTTGAAGGCGAGGAAGAGACAGAATACATGGAAAATATTTTCAACAGCTTATGCTCAAGCTTATTGGCTAAGGAGAATCGAGCAAATTTCTTAAAAGGTGAAGGATGTCAATTGATGAATTTAATGCTAAGAGAAAAGAAATTGTCAAGAAATGGAGCTTTAAAAGTACTTGATTATGCTTGTTCAGGACTTGATGGAAAAGAAAATTGTCAGAAACTCGTTGACATTCTTGGATTGAGAACCATATTTCCACTTTTCATGAAGACTCCGAAAAAAAATAAGAGTCGTCTGTTGAGTTCTGAAGAATATGAGGAACATTTATGCTCAATCATCAGCAGGTAAATATTTGAAATCTTAACGGCTTTTAAAATTTGAATTTTAAAACATTTGAATGGTTTTCACTCAAGCTGATGTAAGGTTTTAAAATTCAAATTAAAAACAGCTGTTGGAAATTAATGAACTTAAGTTTTCTTACTAAAATAAAATTGCTTCTTTCACAGCCTGTTCAGGAACACAAAAGGAAGCCAGAAGCAACGAGTTCTCTCAAAATTTGTTGAAAATGATTTTGAAAAAGTCGATCGATTAATGGAATTGCATTTAAAATATCTGGAGAAAGTCGAGAATATTGATCGAGCCATTGAGAATCAAAAAAAGCAAAAACAGCAAGACGACGAGGAGGATGATGAAGAAGAATCAAGTTATTTGAAAAGGCTCAGTGGTGGATTATTTACATTACAATTGATTGACTACATTATTCTTGAAATCTCCGTGACATCTGATGGAGCTAAAATTAAGGAACGAATACACAAGATTTTAAATTTGAGAGGATCATCACTAAAAACGATTAAGGATATCATGAGAGAGTATGTTGGAAATTTGGGAGATGCTCAAAGTGCAGAATGGCGTGAGCAAGAGAAGTCACATGTCTTAGGATTAATTAATAGATTTTAGGGTCAAATTAAGGCTTAATTTCATTTCAATAAAAGTTTCTCAGTCAACAGACATTTAAATTTATTTCCACTAAAGCATGCAACCCCCTATTAGGCCTGTAAACAAGCGCGATAAACTGGAAGTGAAAAAATAAGAAACAGTTTAAAATTACAGGGAAAAAGTCATTAAAACAAGAAAATTTTAATAATGGGAGGCTGTAGATGTAGTTTTTATAAATGTTCAAATAACACGACACTTGCAAAAGAGACCAACTCGATACATTCGCACTTTTTCCACTTTCCTATCAAAGATCTACAGAGATGTCGTTCGTGGGCAATCTACAGCAACAATATGACATTTCTATCATTGCCTATGGATAAATTAAAGAATAAAGTAATTTGTGACATGCATTTTCCAGAGAGTAGCTTTATGAACTACACGAGAAGTAAATTAAATAAGACGACTGCCATACCAAGTATATTTATCAACGAACATCGTCAAGAAGTTGATTTACTATCAAATCCAACGGATTGGGTTATTGAAAATAGAAATGCAGAGACTCCATCGCATTTTAAGGATTCAAATACTGTCAAAATTGACATAGACGACTCAAACATTGATGTGGAAATGCCACAACCAAAAAAGATTAAAACAGAAGTACCTAAAGTTGGAGAAGTAAGGATCCTTAACAAATTAGTAACTTCACAAAGCAATAAAATACTTACAGTCAAACAAATTAGTAAGCCTGAATCACCTTCGATCGTTAAAGTCACTCCAAAAACGCTCCCAACTTCAGTAAAGGTTCAAAAGACTCCAGTCAAGATCGAGACATCGCCAGCATTTCAAGCAAAAATCAGTGCTGAGAAACCAAAAGTATTTAAGGAAATAACGCCCACAGCATCAGCACAATTATCATTTAATGACAGTGATCCAGCACAAGAAACTTATGAATTTGTTACAGTCCTTTCCAGCGATGATCAGCCAAGCTTCGCTAATGAATCAACTTCAAGTCATTTACAAGGAGCTAGTGATGAAATAAAGTCACTTCTCTCACAAACTTCACAAGATATTTTAGACATTAAATCAATGCTAAGTACGAGTATAGCCAAAACTCAAACACCAGTCAAGAATGAAAGTTCCAACATTTCACAGTCACAATTCAACAAAGTTCAGTTATTTAATGGAATCAAGAGATATTTATCACCTTCACTTATAGCACTGCTGAGGATGGAACTGTTTAGTGCTCCAAATCGAAAATATAAAAAGGATGAGAAAATAATTTGTTCGGAACTGCTTAAATTGGGAGATGAAACTTATGACTTTTTCAACGACGAATGGCGAGTTAGGCTTCCTGCAAAAGATGAGGTAAAGTCATGGCAGAATGAGGAAATGACTGATGATGATGCGTGTTAAAAATTATGCCATACATTTATCAACTTTCCGTTAAATTTTGTTTTTTGAAAATTTCACTTAAAAAATTTGAATTCAAAAAGTCCAATTATTCAAAATTGAAAAAAATCGATAAATTCAGAATTTTCTTTTAACATTCAAAACAGTCTCGTCACTATTCGCAAATTAAAAAAAGTGTCTATTTAAATATTATTATAATTAATATATGAAAATAAAATCTCATTTTATTACGATCATTAAATAGAGTTAATTAATTCTTGAAAGGCACATGTATATTAAAGTTTATATAAAATAGTCAACAGAGAAGTAAGTTTTGTTATTAAGGCATCTAAAAAAAATGTTTGTGTAGTCATGTCAAGTTACGAGGTACAGACATCATAGTATCGAGTTAATTTTGTCTTTGAACGTTAAGAAAGTTTTTTAAACCAAATAATTATTGCTACTTATTTAATTAACTACGGATGTTACAGCATACTTAAAGCTCTTCATAGAATGCCACTTTGTGCCTCGTTGAACTCTTTATGGCCTTCTTTAATGTTGAATACTTATTTTCACCAAGTCTTAGCTGTTCAGCATTAATTCTGTCAAATTCAGATTCACTTATTTTCAGTAGTTCAATTTCACTTCGTAAGCCTTTAAGTTGACTCTGTACTTGCTTGGATTTTGCCAAATATTCAATTCGTTCCTTTTCTATTTCTAGGGATATGTCACTAATATCGTTTTCAGCTAAATCGTATGAATTTAATTCTAAAGCATCTTCATACATTTGTTCTGGATCTTCTAATGATTGTGAAGATATTGACAAAATACCATCGTGTGTTATTAACTGATGAATTGGGACGGACAGATTTGATAATTGTGGTGACGGTGATGAGAGAGTTGCACGCGATAAAAAAGTTAAAAGTTTCTCTTTCGCTTCCTTTTCAGCAATTCGAGCATTAATAAGCTCATTTTTCAATCTTTCTGCTTCGGTAGCCTTCTTTTGAGACTCTTCAGCCATTCGTGCTGTCAATGTTTCTGCTTCTCGTGACTTTCTTTCGAGATGTATCTTTTCTTCTTCCGTTTTGAGAGCATAATTCTTTAGACGAGCTATTTCCTGCTCAACGTCCATTGCTTTCCTGTTTAGTAATAGAGCTTCTTCTTCAGCTAATCGATTTTTCTGTTCCAACAATTCAGCAGCTTCTTCAGAACGTCTCTAAATAAATCAAGAATAAATAAAATAACGGATATTGATAATTTAAAAACAACCGTTTTCAAAAATTTAAATTTCTCAAAAAATTCAGGTTTAAATTTTTGAAAGCCGTTAATATTTGAATTTAAAAAAGTCAGTTACCAGTGCTAGTTGTGCGTTTCTCATTTCTTCCTGCATGCCAATCAGACGTGCTTCCAACAAGGATTTATCGCGCTCTGCTTGTTCCCTTAATTGTTTCTCCTTAGAAAGTTTATTCCGTTCAATTTGACGTCTTTGCTTCTCTTCCTTAGCTTGTGCCTTCATCTGCTGAATCTCGATTGTGTCTGGCTTCCTGCGTCTCATAAATAGTTCATGATTTCCTATGCATAAGTCCAAAATCAATTTATTCATTCGAAGTTTCGTCGAGTAGAATATAAAATTGGGTGCTAAAAATGTTGGGATCATTGATACAGTGTGACTCATTAAGAATAGAATGTGAATCAATTTTTACCTGCTTTGTCAATGGGTTTTATTGTGAATTTTTTGTCGTCAAAACTAATGTTTTTGATTTCACTCCATTGGAAGACGGTTCGTGGCTGTAGCTTATTCTCTTTTTCGTAGATATTTAAGCCTAAAGCTGTAATTCCAAGCCACAATTCAGAGTTTTTCTTATTTTTTATGGGAAAATAATTAACACCAAACATGTCTAGGTCCTGTGCAATCTTCAGATACTCCATCTCAGCTTCATCTCTAAAATTATTAATTATATATATTAACACAAGGAATAAAAATGTGACTTTACCTTGACATTTGCTTATGATCAGCATACCAAGTTTTAATCCTTTGAAGCCACATTTCTGGAGTCATGCTGTATTGGTCTATAACTCGTTGTGGAAGTAAATCTTCGTTTAATAAATCGACACCATTCAATTCATCGTAATCTCCGTACTTAGCCTGTACATAATAAGAAGCAAGTAGAACAGATGCCTCAGGTGGACAATAATATTCCATTGAGAGAATAGCTTGCTTAATTTGTAGGAAGAAGAGATGCTGTGTAATTTCTTGTATCAATTCTTCTTGTACATTTTCTGGGAAGTATTTAGCATAGAACATAAAGACACAAGATTCCTTAATGATATTCTGATCAATAACTTTCTTCTCCTTCTTTAACCAGCACACATTTCCTCTTGTATCTTCATACTGCAACCCAAAATACCATTCCTCTCTTAATCCAAATGTTCTGCATACTAAATCGAATAGTTCGCCACCTTAATTAATGAGCCTTAGAATTGTGAAAGCTTCAATGAATAATGTTACTTCTTACCTGTTGCGTTGTACTCTAGATTAAACTCCAATTGTGAATCTAAGCTGCATACTTTGACAGGAAAGCTTTTCTTTTTCTTCCTAAACGGAATCTAAAGCATTAAATTAATGAAATTAAGAAAATTCCCAAAGATTAGTCATTACAGTATAAATCTTTACTTTATGGTCATTGATATGCTCACCATCCTTAGGTCAATTTTACTTGTGTTTCGCGAGAAAATGTTTACTAATTTTAATTAAACGGGAAAAGGAGAAAAATGTAATTAAGTTTAATTCATAAAAAAATAATAATGTTGTGATGATCTGATCGTGCGTAGGTTTTTACCCTCGATATTTAGCATAACTTTTGAAATTAAATTTACCGTTACTTCATTTTGTATTTCCTTTGCTATTCAGGTATGTCATTTGACAATTTTACTAAGAATTTCATAAGATGCTTGGTTTTTTCACAAGTCATAAACTAGTATACGTGAGATAATATTAATCAAACACGTTTAAAATGCGCTTTTGTCACTAATGAACTCAATTCTTGATGACGTTATTACTCGCACATTTTGTAAACATTGAAAATCAAGAAAATTTTATTAATTAAAATATAGTCTGTAAAAGATGTCTATCCCCGACGGTGAGCATTTAATTACACTAAAGTAGATTTAAATAATCCTTAAAACATAATATAATTTATAAAATTACAGAAGAACACATAATTAAGAGGAGATTACAGATTGATGGAGAGGTAAACAAAAAAATAATCTTAAGAATCTTCAAATTACTTAATTAAAATTCATTTTTCAGGGGGTTGGAGACGATCGTAGGATAAATTTGCTGCTGAAAACGTTTATTAAATGGTGCCATGAAGATACAGTTGAGGATATTTCAATGCCGCTGGCAACACAACTAGCATTAAGTGAGTTTGCTATCCAAAAATCAGAATTATCGGAATCAATGATTGACGCCGAATTGAAAAATTACAAAAAGGTATCGGATGTCATAGCTGAGAAGATTGATAGAGTTAAGGACGAAATTGAGGAATCAAAGAAGCATTTAGTTACAGCAAAGGAAATTAGACGTAATAAACTGGAATATTCAAGTTTAGCTAGATTTATAAAGGAACAGCCAGATCGAAAAGAAATTATTAAGAAACATGAGGATTTGAAGGCAGAACTAGTTAAACAGAATGAAGAATATCAAAAGATTAATAAAGCTCTAGAAAATAAGCGAAAAGACTTTGCATGCTTCATGCTTATAGCTAATGAATTATTCCGTGATGCTGAAAAGAACGAAAGTGAAGAGAATGGCGAGGAAACAATGGGAGACGATACTGAGGAAGACGACGAAGATAATATTGAAAGCATGATAATTGAATAAATCTTTGAATTAATATTATTTTATTTGTCTGCATTCATTCAGTTATTTTCATTCACATTTTTTCATAATTTTTTCTTGTTTTTTTATATATATAATAAAACCAAAAATATCCACTTAATTGAAGAGGTACATATCAATCTGATTTTGCATAAATATAAAAATAATTTTTCACTAATTTTCTTTTCCTTCAAATCGAATGAAAAAAAGAAGAATTTTCTTTGAATTTTTTCCGTTTTAACATAATTCATGATAGTTTTTTTTTTGAAATTATTAGATATATATTTACAAATATTATACTTTATTTCTCATTAACAAAATGAAAAAAATTATTAAAATCACCCTCGATTCTTCTCATCATCTTTTCTCTTCTTTTCTTCATCTAGGAAAGCTGAATGTATTTCAGCCAAAATTGGAAAGATTATTCGATTGTGCATCTTGGTTGAGAGCGGCAATTTGTTGTGATCTGGCATTAATTGCTTGTAATTGTATGAATTTGTGCTTAAAAACCTTTCAAATGTTTCTTAAAATTGATCTGTTTCTCAAAACCATACAATGGTTCAAAAAGAAATTGTATGGTTTTGAATTATCCGTTGAAAACAACTTTGAGAACCATACAAATTTGAAAGAAATTGTATGGTTTTCAAATTCAAAAAGTCCGTTAAAATTCAACCAACACGTGCGTAATTCTCAATCACATTCCAGACCTCCAATCAATGAATATCAAAGCACCTCAAATGCCGTTTTAAGAGGAGTGATTAAACACTCGTTCTTTCAATTAAAAAAGATAAAAAGAAATAGATAGAGAGAGATAATATTTATCAGCCATGTTAGGCCATCGACTTTGAATAATACAAAAAGTTCATTTGATTTTTTTTACGTCACATATCGTTTCATGCTGTGTGTGTGATTTTTTTTTTCAATATGGTAATACATTTATGCTACTATTTTTTAATATTATTTTTTTTTCTTGTTTACTTTCACGGTTCCTCCTTCCTTCGTCAATCAAAATCATATAGGACAAATGCATTTCATATATTTTGTTTGTTATCTTTATTATACAAAAAATCTATTTAGTCAGAATCTTCCTCGTCATAAAATCCATTAAGATCAATGTCTGGACTCAAATGTTTGTTAGCCAATGCATATTCGATTAATGCTAAATGACAAAAGACATATTGATCCGGCATTTGTATTGAATAAGCCCGTTGATTTCTTATCTTCTCGACTGTACCACGGATGTCAACTGTTCCTACATCTTGCAATCGCGATATGCAAATATCTAACGTTATGAATGTTCCTAAAATGACATAGATTCCAAGTTAGAAAGCAGCTTTGATTGTCAGTAAGAATATTTACCTGTTCGTCCGATTCCTGCACTGCAATGTACAATAATTGGAGGTCCTCGATGATGTCCAGCCCATTTGTCGCCAAGTTCTTTTACCATCTCAGCTTGTTTTTCTCGTACTCGTTGCAAAAATGTTAACATTGCCATCGCCGATGACGGAACGCCATAATCAGCTGTAGAAAATAATAATTGTTTGATTAGTAAATGACTAAGAACTTGTGCATTTCACTCGAGAGACTCAAGGGAAACAGAGAATTTATTTTTACACTAATATAAAAGTTATTCATGAAACTTTAAGTTAATTTTCTGAAAAGAACATCGTTTCAAGACATTTGAACTTTGGTCTGAATAGCAAGCAAACTTTTGCCACAAAGAAAGCCACCCACATCCTCGAACAGATAAAGTGAATCAAAGTGGTTTCTCAAGAAAGAATATGCACTTAAGAAACATGGGGTCGTTCAAATTGGATATGACGACCTTAAAGTTATGGATATACTTACGCCAACTTGTGAACTGCCAGTGTGATACGTTGCGAGTCTCATCAGTCTTAATATTTGTAATTTCTAATGATGCAACTGAATAATTTTCATTGGAATCAATTGCAGTCGTTTTGACTTTAAAATTCCCATGTTCGCCCGTCTCATCTTCTTTTGGTTCCCAATATTGATGACATTTCACACGTCCTCGCTCCATCGTTTTTGTTGTCATCACAATCACTAAGCATTGTTGATCCCAGACCATCTGCCAAAAATCTGGTGTGGTTTTTGGAAGTGGACCTACAAGACATGAGAAATTTGATTAAGAAACACATTATAGCATGACAAGAGAGTCCTTACCTTGCGTGGAAATGTAGGCATTTTTCTGTTTGTATCCATCAACAAAATTTGCATTGATATAGTCATTAGTAGGATCATCTTCGTCGTTTGAAAGAACAACACGACTATGGTCATAACACAGCACATCTGTATAGCTATTAAGAATTCAATGTATTAGTTTAAATATTCAAGAACCTTAGATTGACATGCTTACCGGTTCTTGGTTAAATTGCTTCGCAGTTTTGCGTGATCAAAATTTCCATTTGGAGGTTGGGCTCGAATATCAGCATATTCCTTCAATAATCCTTTTCTACCCATTTGTCGCACCATGTCTACAACTTGCTCTATAGTTTTCGGATCACCCGTCTCATTGGTTCCACCTGTTAAGCTATCATCATCACTAAATCCACTTGAAGGCGATGCACTTGACGGTGGATTTTCTGTTGCTGTCCAATGAATGTCAGTTATGATTCCATTTGTTTCTTGTGTCGAAATCTCTGTTGTTCCATTCTGAGCCGTCGTACCATTATTCTCGCTTCCATTTATTGTAAGTGTGGTCGTTCCGCTATCATCGTCATTATTATTGTTGTTATTTCCATTTGCCGTTATTGTTGCTATCAACTGATCAGGATCAGATGATTCAACTGTCTGCGACAATAGTTCGTCCTCTTCACGATTCGTCATCGATTTATTACAATTAATTAACCATGAGGAATGATCTATTCTTAAAGTTCCGCCTAAATGAATTGGAATTGAATCGCGTGGTATATGTAAGCTCAGTTGCGGCACCGACACTGTAAAAACACGATCACGTAGCTTTTCGCGAACAAATAATCGAAGTATTTTGAATGGTGCCTTAAAAAATTGTTTAAAAATTAAATTAATTAACCTTTTGTGCCTGATGTTCACGACTATAGTCAGGAGACTATGTTGTAATTTTCATTACCTTAAACCATAGAGGTGCTGTAACGATTAAAACTTTTTTCAGTTTTGCGGGATAGCAGCCCTTAAAAATAGACAAATAGACATGTTAATTTTATTAATATTATTTATGGTGTTTATCATGAAATGTATTCTGTTAATAAGCAAAAATCTACATTAACACACTCTCTCTTTTTTAGCCATTCTTAAAATCTAACATCGGTCTGACGAAATGCTCATTTTTCTCAACTGTCAAATAATTTTTGAATTTTGTTTTCGAATTATTTTCGAAATTTCGGATGTAAACATTCGAATTGAAAATTCTTAAAAAATTGCTGAAATTCACATAAAAAACACTCATATTCAATCTACATGATCGATTGTACAGTTCTTTATAGTTTTATACAACTGTTAAAGGATGACAAAAATGAATTAATGACCTATTTACTTGAAATTTTGCAAAACAAAATTTCCTTCAAAATCACATATTTCGAAAATAAATTTCAAAATTTAAAAGAAACGTTAAAAATGAATTTCCCAATATTTCCAGTCATGCTTGTAAAAATTCTTTCCAAATAAATCTTCGGGTATAGAAAATTCTTCATAAATTCACAAGAAAATCTGCTCATCTGTTTAATTTCAAGAGAATTTTCTCGAAACATACGAAATTTATTTATTTATTTCCCGAAAAAATGCTTCAAAATCTTCGACTGCGATACAAAAATAGGGTTGTGAAAATAGCAAGTAAGTACACGATACAAAAAATAAAAATAAAGTACTTCTACATTGTTTGATGAAAAGTCAAGTGAAGTTATTGGGGAAGAATTTTCTTCTCTCTTTTCCTTTTGAAAAATTGAATGAAATAAAATCCGTGTTCACAAACAATTGAGAGCGTGAGCGAGAGAAGCAGCACAAATACAGTCAAAGGAACTAGATGAAGGTATTGTACACATTGGATGAATCATCATCATTAATAAGTCAGCAAGAGAGAGAGAGAGGAAAATAATAAAAAGAGACTGCAGGAAAATATCGATTTTTTTGCGCGTTAATATTTGCTGCTGCATGGAAGCATATGATGCACAGTCAGTCAATGTATGAGAATCAAATAAGGGAAAGAAATTGAAATTCCTTCCTGCTTGATTTTATCGCAAATCTACTTTATTCGCAAACTGTAATGAACTTTCATCCTTGACTTATAAAGTTCTATACCCGCTAACTTGTTGGACCTGCTTCACCCACTTATTATTATTTTTTTCGATCGACTCAGGAATGTAACATCAATCGCGTGTAATAATTTCTATATTCTTAGCGCCTTTAAGCTAAATATTAAGTCTTTCTTACATTTTGACTGCTTACATGCAACAGTTTATGGTCGATTGGAAGTCTCAGAATGTTCAAATTTGCTTGCTAATTGGTTGCACAATAATGTAGGAGTTATTTAATGGATGAATTATTCAGCTTGGATGTGGAACATATTAGCATAGTGCTAAATGTATCTTTATTTGCATTTGAGGATATTGTTAAAATTGAGAAATTGATGAAAACTTAACGGAAGTTTTAAAATCAAAAACCAACGATAATTTTTGATTAAAATTTTTCTCTCTTTTAACGAAAGCTTTTTCAAATTCCAAAAATCCGTTAAATTTTAACGAAAATGAAAATGAATTAAAGCATGTCACAATCGAAAGTACGTGAGCTACATCTACCCACTTAATTTTTCTTTCTTTCCATAGTACTTTCAACTTTGCTATTAAATTGAATTTTCACGTAAGGACTCTCTAATGACAAATGCAATCATTCTTTCATTATTCTTTCTACGTCGATGAACCCGAGTAGGTAGGTATATTGTACTTGAGTATTTGAGTGAGAATAAATAATAGGCAATATATTATGCGCGTGTTTCAATCTTCATCGCTCTTCTTTTCAATTATTAAAATATATTTAATGCCTTTCTTTTTCGTTACTTAGCATAAGGTGCGTAGCCAGGGGAGGTTTAAGAATCTCTTACTTTTTGCTAGAGTTTTAGACGAAAAAATCTTGAGATACCCCCAATCCAAACTTTTGACTTCGCTGCTACCTACAACACATATTTCACTTAAAAGTCGTTCTTTTATTATGGACTGCTTTAAAAAGGGTTTGGGGTCTAAAAACCAGTTTTTTTGCATTACGTCCTAAGAGAACACATCCACTTTTTGACAAGAAGACTCATTCCTCAGAGTATATTAAGTATTTATGACTGCATAAAAACCCAAAATAAAATTAACGGAAAATTATTGAATACATTATAAATATGATTGTAAGCTTTCTAATTTGTGCCTAGTTGTTTTGGGGGGTTTACTTGCTGATGATGTCGTGGGTATGGTTATCAGACTTGTATCAGACTCTCTTACATACTACATACTGTAACCATGTTGCTATGTGATATTAGGTTCTCTTAGTCACCCGAACTTTAATTCAATGCTTAGTTTTAAATTTTAAGGACCACCATCCCTCCCTTATGGTTTTTTAAAAGGATAAGTTCCAGTTAAGCAATTTTTTAATACTCAGATGTTAATCAATGATAAAATCTATTTTGCCATGATAGACATCATAGCCGAATGAATCTCTTTTTTGCTTAACAAAACAATAAATGAATATAATCAAATAGTTCATCGAAATGAAATCTAACCGCACTGACTTAATTTATGTAAATTGCAAAGTATATTTTTTATTATTTTGTAGAACACAATAACATTAAAGAAAAGCTCAATACGCAATTTAAAAGGAGAAGAAAACGAAACTAGCATGGAGATTACCTGATGATGACCACTGAGTGAGTTAACTGACCCACAAATTAAAGAAATACAGACAAGAGATTTATAAAGCATTAAAAATCATCAGGGCGGAGATGGAATTGTGGAAAATTACTTCAGAATTTTAATTTCCTTCAATAATAGCACAGCTTACATAAGATCGCGTTTTGAATTAATTTATTTTGTGTTTCGAGAGATAATTAAGTCGAGATCTTTATTTTCGGGTTTCGTATGGATATATTTTGTGGAGGAAATACGTTAGATTTATGTTGCAATTATTGTCTACTCATTCATATCTCATTCAAATCCTCATAACTCTCTGTCTCGTTCACAAAAACTACTCTAAAATTAAAAATCTTTATTCAATAAATTTTCAATGAAATGAAATGAAAAAAAATGTAAATTCTTTTTATAGAAAAATCCCTGAACTAGATAAGTATAGTCAAAAGGAAAAATAATTTATAGTGAAACAAATTTGTGATGACTAATGTGACTTTGAAAATTGAAAATTCAATCTATTTTTCGTGATGCATTTTCTTTCATTTCCGTAGCTTATTAAAAATTTAATCGGAATCGACACTTGGCAACTGTTTTTCGGGGGTTCAGACAATTTTAAATTTCTATGATTTAACGGTTTTTGTACATTTGAAATTTTAGCGGTTTTTGTTGTAAATTCAAGTATTGACGGCTTTGTAGATTGCAAATTTTAGCGGTTTTCGTAAACTTAAATGTAAACGGTCTCGTAGAATTCGAATTTCAACGGTCTTGTAGAATTCGAAAGCTACGATATTCGAATTTATTCAAAAATTAGAAAAAACCCGTTACATTTTCTAATTAAATTTACAATCTTTTTAACATCACTGAGTCACATCAAGCGAATGACACACGAGCATAAAGATAATCTATCAAAGCTGCCATGAATAAGCCGGTCAAAGTTATTACATAAACCCTACTAATGTTGTTAATGGAAAATTTATATGAATTTCCATCCTTAATGTGTCATTTCCAGTTTTACTTTAATATTTCTTTAAAATCAAGTTACTAATGTCATTAGAAGTAAGAGGAATAAATTTCATCAGTTTGTAGAGAAATTCCAATTTTTCCAACTGACTTCTTTTTTGTTACAGAATCTGAAGAAATTTAGGTCAAATTTTAAATTTTTTATTTTGGAACTTTTCATTATTTCCATATTTTCACTTAATCATTTTCAAATGTCTACGAGTATGAAAAGTAGTATAATTAAATTGAAAAAAAATCATTGAGAAATTTCGGAACGATGTTTATACAATTTAATTAACTTCACATACAGTCAGCAGATTTTAATGGAATTTCACCTGTTTTTTCACTTACTTAAATTCACTTAAAATTTATATATATTTTTTTTTTCGATGTTTTACTCTCTCTTTTATATATTCTCACTTCTTTCCTTCTTTTCTAATTTTAGATTCTCTTAAAGCACTATAAACTGTCGTCGACTAGCAGACTAATTGACTTATTTCACTGATTCGGCAATAGTTTTTCTTATTTTTCCATTTCAATGAATGAAATAAAGAAGAGGTTCTGGATTCTCTCAAGCTTAATTAAATTTTTTTGAGTCAACTGCAAATTTCCTAGCTAGTCACAGAAATTATAATGGACGTTCATAAAACACACAATAAAATTTAATTTTTTTTATGTAAGATAATTTTGGATGCGACTATATACTATATAATATGTGACTAGGGTCGGTTTGGAAAATGAAGAAAAATTCTATAATTAAGTAAGTTTCAAAACTAAGAAAAAAAACTTAAATATTTTCACTGTAATCTAAAAATTTCAAACCGCACATCACAAGTTTTATAGAACCTTTGAAATGGAAAAATTTTTGAGTTTTTCCTCAAATCGAGAGAGCTATTCGATTAACTAATACAACAATATTTATTCTTTTTACAGGCACAACACACTATTGTAATGGGAAAAATCTGATCGATTTTCGTGAAAGTCATGTGCATAAGTTTGTGAACATGCGCAAAAAATACCGTCACTGAATTCACATTAAACATTTCATGAGAGAGCGAAGAAGAGAGAATTAAACTGAGCAGGCAGAGCAACAGAAATGATAGACGAGTCGAAAAATCTGTGCATTTATTTTTGTACTCTTTTGAGAACGCAGTTTTATGAATGTTGAAAATTATGGCTTGATATCAGGTGTTTCTTGGAATTTCTCCCATACTGAATTTTATGTTGATAACTTAAAGCTATTGTTTGTGTTGTAAATGGAAATTTCTAGACATTTCATGAATGAATTTTTCGAATTTTGTGATTTTTGTAGAATTAGAATTTTAACGGCTTTGTAGAATTAGAATTTTAACGGCTTTGTAGAATTTAAATATCAACGGCTTTGTAGAATTTAAATTTCAACGATTTTTGTAGAATTTGAATTTCATCGGTTTTGTAGCCTTTTAATTTTAAAATTCTTGTAGATTTTGAATTTTTCCGAGCTGTATCATTTATGAGAAGTGTTGTAATGGATGTCAAAAAACCCATTTTGGATGCTCTTTATTAAATTTAATTAAAATCAAAATATGATTTTGAAAAAAGTATCACTTAGCCTCAAACAGTCCCTTATAATTACATAAAAATAGAAAAGTCTTTCAACTTACAAAATTAACACTCCTACACTCAATACAGTTTCGATTCCTTTTGTTTCTCAATAAGCAGTGATAGACAGAAAGACAAAATGCATTCCAAAATCTCATTTAGTCCACAAAAAAGTCAAATCAGAACGTTTCACAAGTTTCACATCAATTTCACTAATTTAACCGCGAGACAATAAGCTCAAAAAATTATCATCAAAACTGATAAAAAAAATAACAATCTTCTTTTTAATGTTCTCGTATCGGATAAAATAAACAAAATTCAACAGAATACACAAATCTCTGTGATGATATCCAACAGAATATTCATATTCATATTTCCTTTTTGTTTTCAAATATCATCACTTTTCATCACAGTTAATCATCAACATATGATTGTGTTTGTAGTCAGCCGTTTTCTCCCGTCTCTCGGCATCTGTCACCGAGTGTGGAAGGGCAGGCAAATAATGTCACAATAATCGGACTTTGTTCATTGACACAAATCACAAATTACATTACTACACCTACTCAAATAGCTTGAAAGGATGACACTATTCACTTGTACGTCCATACTAGGCATTAATTAATTATTTATGGTTAGTTTTCAATGAAAAGCATCAGTTTTTTAAACGCACATGTTTCTATACATCTATAAAGTTTCGATTAACTACACTATGTGTGAATAAGAAGTAACAAATTGTATTTTTTTTTTTTTATTATCTCATCATACAAGACTCATTGTCGTCGTCGGTTGATCAATGATGAATTCTAGTTGCGAGAGGAATATTTTTTTTTTGAGAGAAGAAAAAACTTTTATTTTTTATTTTATATAACGATTAAAATAATCGCGTTTCTTAAAGGTTTTACGTCTTGCGAGTGACTATTTCAAATGACTATTTTCATTTGATGTGAATCTCACAATTTTTTTACGATTGCGACAACAACAATAGCGAGTATAAGTGAATGTTTCATAGCCAATACAACAAGACATATTCTTTAATAGTGTGTGAGTTGAGCGAACGAGCCACTCTGACTTAAATAATATTAGAAAAATCCCCCCTCCCCCCCTTGGCCTTCAAAGCATCTGACAAAGTGACGTCAGATAGAATACCGGGTTTTTTAAAGCTTAATGAATGAATGAATTGCTCATACACACATGGTTATGGTGGTGTGGCAAGTAGAAAGTCACCTGAGGCGGATGACTAAAGTGTTTTTGTAACCGGCTCCAATTAGTACAATTTTTTGGGGCTTACAAAAATATGAATATAATAATATAAATTCCATATAAAACAAAATAATACCAAATAACGGTTCAAATCTTGCAGAATTTTTAATCTTTTCATTCAATCTTCTCTTCTTTCTTCGATTATTATTAATATTACGAGTCATTGTATCCGCAAATCTTTTATCTGATTAAGTTTGCTTAATTTTTAACAGATTTTTCAAACATTTTCCGAGATGATAAAATCTTTTGAATTCGCTCTATGTGAAAAATTTGAATTTTTTTAACCGGTAAAATTCTAAAAGCTACGAAAGTAATTTTTAAGCATAATTGCAGTCCAAAACGACATAATTTCCTCACTTCCTATTTCAAAAGCGCGCTAAAGTAGCGAATGTCAAAAGAGACATACACATGAAGCTTTACATTTGATTATAATATATACATGAGGCTTGTATACAACTCTTTTTTTTGTCACCCACCTACGTTTTAGTTTGCCTGACATCGCAACAGTTTGCAATAATTTTTTTTTTATTTCCATAAATACGAGTATTATTAATAGAACTAAGATTTCTAAAACGCGTTTTAGTTGTCGAGTTAATGAGTATAGTGTGTGTATATAAATGAAGGCATACTCGATATATCGAGTGTAAACAGAAAATTCTAAGTGAATAACGAACGAATAAACACTGCAAATGCATTAAAAACTTTGTTAGCTTAAGCAATTCATTGTTGTCTGATTTTTTTTTTTTATACATGGAAACAAATAATCTACACACGCGATTCTCATGCTTTTATCATTTATCTACATCAGTTCTTCTTCTTTGTCTTGCTCGTTTATTGTCAAACTTGACCAGGGAGGTACCTCTATGGATTCTTTTGACATACATATGATTTTCAGAACATTCACCACCTTTAAACTGAGTTGCCTTAACTAGAACACTGAAAGAACACTTAAATACGACTACCCTTTTCCTGTGACTGCTTTCATACACAGCTTTCCCCTCCTTACTCCACCCCAGTGTCATATTTGACCTTTGTTAGAATATGATTTCGATAAAGATACGCACGCGACATTTGTGCTCGCTTTTTGTAAAGAAATAGCTTCTTACAATTTAAACATCGTGCGTTTCTAATTACTTAAGTCATCAGTGTAAAGAGTCATCCACGAGAGAGATTGAATCGTCATCAAGATTACGAGAATTATTCATTCATTCAGTCAGTCATTCCATTTAGATACAAAACAGCAGTTTAAGAATAATTTGTTAAAATAAATAAACATGAACTCACCTTCAACATTGTGAGAATTTTCTGAGATAATTCGTAATCGAAATTACTATATTTAGATCCGCTCATATCATAGATGAAGACGAGACCGTTTCGTTGAGTTTCTACTGATTGAAGAACTGCATCCAATTGATAAACGATGCCTTGTAATGTGGTTTTGTGTGATACGATTTGTGGATTGTGTAGATTCGCTGTAAATAAAGCAATAGCGGCTCCGCTGACATCACGACTTGGCTACAAGAAAAAATATAGAGAAGAATAATCATGATTCCTCATTTCTTATAAGTTGCGAAGGTGTTTCAACAAATGAAGTCCCATTAAATTCACGATTTATTTATTGATTGATCAACCGGAAAGACGATATTCCGTTTATGTTAAACGCTGTTTAATGTGTATTTGTGTTTGAAGCACTAACCAATTACAACAAAATGCTTACAGGCAATACTTTACCCACTTTACTTTTAGATATAATATTGAGTATTATATTATGTACTAGATATGTATATATAGACGTAAATAAAGAAGAAACAAAAATCAATTAGCACGGGAAACGTGATAACATTTTATGGAAGCGGTAAGCAGTCAGTATGAGAGTAAGTATGAGTGTAGATTATTCAGTTGATTGAATAACTTGTATTTTCACCTAGATTTAGATAAATATAAGCACGTAGATATCTTCACGCTATTCAATAAATAAGAATTTAAGTATGAAAAAAGATAATTAACATTTTTGGCATTTTAACTCGTTTCCAGAAGCTAAAATTAGTTGATACAGGTCATGTTTTAGGTAAATAAAATGTATTTATAGAGTCGTCATTAATTTTGTTGTTTGAACAGATCGACAACAAAAGATTGAAATTGTGAAATATTGTGAGTAAGTAAGGAAGCTTCTCGTGCTTATTGTTCAATTTTCTATTAACGGCTTAGTTAAATTTGAATTTTTTCCATCGTTTTTGTAGAGTTTGAAAAAAATTGAAACGGTTTTACCAAATTTTAAAATTTAACGAACTTGTAAGATTCAAAATTCACCGGTTTTGTGAAATTCAAATAAACTGAAATGAAATTGAAATTAATATTGCTGAACGACTTTTTTTGTTCATCAATACTTTCGATTTTAATTCATTCTAATTCGAAATCCATTGAAATTTCATGCATAACATGCTTCTATGCGAATAATATGAATCTTTTAATCGCCTTAAACGTGAAGCATTAAAATAATAGGAGCAAGTAAGAGTAGAAAATTGATTCATAAATTTTATTCTTCTTCTTATACGTCAAAAAACATCAACCAAAAATGAGGAGCTCAAATGTTTTCAGAAGCTAGTCAGTCAACATTCAGGAAAACAATGAGCACATTTGTACAACGAAAATGCGTCGAAAATTAGACGTAGTTTTTCTGAGAATGTTTTAAGAAAAAAATATTATTTCCATCATATTGTATTCATTCTCTACAGCTATACATGCTAAATAGAAATGACATTTGAGTTCTTGATATTGAATGTTTAAATGTCTATGTCTATTTTCTCAAACGCAATATTTTTTTGGCACAGATAAATCATTAATTTTTGTGTCCCATATGTTGATGGATTTTGTGTCGACAACAAAAACATGTTCAATTTAAAAATATATAAAGAATTTGCCTAACAAGAAAGGCTGGCCATGTACTCATACTAAAGGTTAAAGGAATAAACTTGAAAAGAAGATTTGAGAGAAATTCCTTGTCATTTTTTAAGCATGATGACGACAACAACACAGAAACACATGTGCTTGATATATTATTTTTGTCAGAATTCTTTTCATGCAGATGTAGATGGATAATATTGACATTACACATATAAATATGGCATTATTAAAGGAAATTGAGTTCCTGCTTTACTTTGATTTACTTTTTTTTTGCCTACATCTCTTCTTATATGAATGGATTAGACATAGAACAGAAACATGACAACTGTTCTCATTCTAAAGAATTATTTTTTGTCTTTTCGCATACTTTTTCAGGCTTCTTTTCTTCAGAAGTAAATGGAATAAGGGGAAGTGGAGGTAACAGAACATTACGTCAATTCTGTTCTTCCGGTTTGAAATTTCTTCACTTCTTTCCACGCCATTTATCTCACGTAATTATCATTATTGTAATTAAAACACGATGTGCGTTTCTATTGAAATGTTTAAAACTGGATCTTCTTTGGAATTCTGCTTTGATGATTTAATGGGAAATGTACTTGAAATTCAGATCTTTTAATGCTGAATGTGATTTTAAAAATTTTCCAAAATAAATTACCGGCTTTTTTATCATCGATAGTCCCAAAATTGATCAATCAAAAGGTTCATAAAGCAGAAAAAATAATAAATACTTACAAGAATAGTAAACTTTCCGGTTTCCAGTTCGGATCTTAATGGATCAAGAGCAGTATCAAAACCATAAAGACCTTCACGTTGACGGATCAAGTAATTTGCTTCGTATAAAGCAACAGCTTTTGGTATATCAAATTTACGTGCAAAGAGATATTGTATGGCTGTTGATGAACTTATTTGTTTTTGATGTGGCGACGATGAATTTAATAAATCAATGAATTGTTTTACCGCCTGTAAATAAATTAATTTATACTCATATAGCTTGTTATCATTTTATAGACATTATCATTTATGTTTATGTGCATTTAAGAATCCATCATCGTCCTCATATTAATTAATGAAGAGATATTTGTAGGTTTAAAGTTAAGTCCAACCAGGACAATCATCAGACAACACACTGAATATCTGCTCTGGGTTAATAGGCATTATGATAAACAGGCGATATGCTTTAATCAACGAAGTTCATTAAAGACTCTCATCACTTGATTGTTTTCGTCGTCAGTTGAACGACTACTGGTTGGCAATTTTTCCTAGCCCCCACTTGCTCGATATAAGTGACTCGTTTCTGCAAGTGCTTGTGAAGTATATGGTCGAATTTCTCACACTCTATATAAAATATGAAAGTTTCATTTTTATGGCACTTATTACATACTTTTTTAATGTTTATCGACTGGATAATTACAAGTAATTAGAATGTAGGCTAGCAAGATAATAAAAATGTTAACTTTAATTGAATTTAATCACGTTTCACATTCACAAATGTTTCATGCCTGTTTTAAATATGTACTTTGTCAAAAACGTGCTTCTACATGAAACACGATAATGGCAACATTGGTTAAGTGTTCGTTTGGATGGGCTAGTAGCTCAGCGGGAGAGCGCTCGTTTCGCATACGAGAGGTCTCGAGTTCAATCCTCGACTGGTCCAAACCATAAGTGAACTTTTTTGCACTTTTTTTGGCCATTTTTATAAATTTTGATTTTATTTTTAGATTAGCCGTCATAAAAAATTTCTCTTCCTTCTTTTTTGCACCTCCTGACAACTTTCTTTACATTCATAGCTCTCGTCAGCTAGAAAAATTTATAGCTTTTGAGTAGAAATTATAATAAATTAAATTTTTATATCCTCATTCAAATATGCTCAAGACACAGGATTAAGTGGAACTTCTGTTTTATGTGAATTTTTTGATATTTTGTCTGTGCGGAATTTTCAAAGGCTTTGTGCTAGCTTCCGTTGACTTTAATCCCCTTCAAGAATTAATTTTTTGTTGGACATAGATTTAAATTAATAATTTTTTTAGACAGTTCCGTGCCTTGAGTCGTAAAAAAATTGCTAGAAAAATTTGCTCATGTGAAGTATGTAATTGCATACAAAACTACAGCCAGAAATCCTTTTTTGCTTTTTTGAACAAAAGCGGGTCAATAGACTCATTTATTGAATGACGTCTTTTTATGTGTATGCAATTTTTTTGGCAGAATGAATAGATTGAGCTTATTTTTTGAGAATCTTCCTTTATGAATTGATTTTTATATATTTTTCAGTCAGTTGCTTATTACGTCTGTATTTTAGGGGGTTTGAGGTCTTTAAAAGTGGTGAGTTTGTAGTTAAGCATAGGACAAACTGAACTCGTGGCTCATTTTCTTTTGACCTTGAAGACTTAAACTTGTTGCTAGGCAAATAAAGAAATGCCTACAACCTCACTTATTAATGCACAATCTTATAAGACTTTAAAATGATCATCCAACAGCTCAAAACTAGCATGTAAAAAAAGTTTTAAATTTCGAGGAAATCCATTGAATTATTTCCCTCGACATGACTGTATGATTACTGTCGTGATTTATGAGTTACTTATTCTAAGCAGATTATGTGTGTATGTATGATTCGAAACTAGTTCCATAAACATAAAAATTGTGTTTTATGTAATAGCCTTTGGATTAAGAACCGTTAAAAGGTGCTTAGCTTACTCTACTTAGTCTTGGTCTAACATGGATGCTGCATCATCTTCTGAGTTCGTTCTATGGAAGTTTTAGTTTAGATTGCTGGGAGTTCATGCTTAAGCTCAGCCAGTTGTTTATTGGCTAAGTCAAAATGGAATATGTTGAAGTCAATGACTCCCAAATTAGTTCATCCAAAAAAAAATCCCCAAATAAAAATTTCCATAACTTTATCTGCAATGAGCTAACTCCAAAAATGAACAAGCTCCCCAAAAAAAACAAAAATTAATCAAGCTCCTTTTCCGCAAAACTCAATTATCAAAAACAGCTAGTCATGTAGATGAAAACAAAATCTCAATTCAGTAAATACAGTCATGGAATCCAAACTATTAATAAAAAGCTGAAATTTTAATGTATCGAATGATAAATTTATAGCGAATCCGAATATGTAATATCGATGAGACAAAATTCTGAGTAATGCAATTATGTAAGCAATCTGTCATCAATAATTGCGTATCGAATATGTGAATATGAATGACATCCTTGAATGAAACAGCTCGTATGGAAAAAGTTATAGCTATCAAGAAATTCAAAGTTGTGGATGTACAACTGTCTATGATCCCTTTTCAGTATGATCCAATACTACTTTTCGGATTATTTGGACCATTCTTTCGATTGAATGCATTCTACACACGAACTCAAAAATTGAAACTATTGAAGAATCTTGATCCTCAAATGTATGTTAATGTTAAATGTTAATTCTTGACCCTAAAATCCCTTCTGTCTATCCCTTAGGTTTGTATAATCCCAAATGCTAGACATCACATTTGAACTTTTGGATTTACTATAGTGTGTTAATTAATAATCCAGCACATTCTTAATATCTCTGCTTCAATATACTCATACAGACATTTTTAATGTATAATTTCAGGATAAGAGTAGAATAGACCAAAGACTGTCATTTGTATGACTTCATCCGGATGTTATTTTTTGTCGTATGACAGGATGTAATTGGTTCAAATGGTGTTTATGTCTTGAATATCAATTAATTTCTGAATATTTCTTCATATTTATGTCATCAATCAAGAATGTCTCTTGAATTAAATGCGGCCAAATATCTCATTAAACTGGTAATTGATCATGATTGATTTAAATGTAGACCACATCCATCCCACCCTCAAATAGAGATTATAATGACTAGCTATACTTGTTACAACAAGATCTATTCAGATTGTAACGGTCTTTGGATATTGGATCAGCAAGCAGAATTAAATTGTTTATCAGACTAGCTATATGGACCAAATTAGATGGTATTTTCGGCTAGTGATTATCTATTTCGCTATACACACTTGAATTGAAGGCACAGCATAAATCTATTCACACGGCAGTTCCTCTAATAAATTAATTTTTACAGTTCACGGATTTCGCGATAAAATTTTTGTCAATTCCACCAAAGATCACATAATTATTCACTTTCCAATAAATTTCTTTCTTTCTTTTGAGCATGTAAATTTCTTATTGAGTTCCTTTACTTCCGTTTCGTGTACGATCAGTTTTCATAAATTTTCGTTCGACACCTGATCTACAAACCTCGACAAAATTCCGTTCCCATATTTTATAGCCACATGTCTTCTTCTGATGCCGGATCGTTTTATATCCGAGACTTTTCCTTCGGTTCCCAAGCGACTTTTGATCTCTTCTTGACTTTTTATACTTTTTCAAAAAATTCCTCATTGTGGCTTTTTAACAATTTTTTGAGGATAGACGGTGCACACAACACAACACACTCACTGTACTCGCATAATTCGAGTGACAAAAAAATTTTTGTTTGTCTGATAATTAAAAAACTAAAATAATGTACATAAAAGAGATATGATTCAATGTGACCCACTTATTGTGTCTGTACACAATGTATTGTTTTAATTTCACTCGAGCACATGCCACATTCAATAGCAAATTTCTAGTAAATGATCGGAGCTTGGCTTTGTTTATTAATGACGTCTAGATATTTGGGCACTGACCCCACTCACCCTTGCTAATTCTTGTCACAGAGTTTCTTGACACACAAAACATTCAATTATGGGTCAACTTAGTTTTTACTGTGAATCTAGGACTCTCTTAAGCATGAATGTCTTATAGTACATCTGTTCTGTAAGATTTGTACTTCTGTACTATAATTGCTTTGAAATTGAAGCGATTTTAAATTAATAACTGAATAAATAATAATAATAATAATAATAATAATTTTTCGTTAAGGTGACTACTATTAACACCCTCCCCCCCCCCCCCCCCCCCCCTCACAATGATTCAGAATTAGAAACCCAACAAATTAGAAAATTGAAAGTTTGTGTTAATTTCTCTTGATTTGATTCTTTTAGCATCTTCTACATAATGTTTTCGTTCATTGCTCAAAAAATCAGTCCTTAATATAAAGGATAAACATGATTTTTTACCAAAAGTTTGTAAAAGTTTATGTATGAAAATGTATGTAAACTTTTATCGCAAATATCTCGAAAAAGGAATCAAACGGCATGTCCCCAGTTATATGGGAGATAGATTTAAGCTTAATTAATTGATTTATATAGGTTTCAGAGAGGTCTTTCGAAGACTTTTTAACTTATGAATAGTTTAAGTTTTGTAAAAATACTCAGATTTCAATTGCAATTTTAAGACTTAATAAGCAGTTTTCTTTTGATTTGGTAGTTCTAATATGCAAATCTAAGCTTAACTTAGCTAACAACAGCTAGCGAGATAAGGAAATAACAACTTAAAGTAGAGAAAATCAAAGTTTTTTTTTCATAAACAAAATGAAAACAAATTTTTGTTGAAAATAAATTAAAGATTTCTGGAGTTAGACATCAAATTGAAACGAGATATTTTCACTTAATATCCCTTAAGTTAAGATCTTTAATCTGGCATTTAAAAAATGAAGTTTAATTAATATGTTATTTTTGAATTTTTGAACATTTTTTCCGAATCTGAATCATTGTGCCCCCCACTTACAGACCTCTAATTTTGAGGTCTGTCAAAAATGCACTATAGATACTTAAAGACATCCATATTCTGGTTTATCTCGGTCTCTAACCTACGATACATTCCAGATGTCAATATCTCAACGGAAATTTTAGAATCATTTAAGATCAAAATATGCGGAAACACCCGAGTCTAAATTTAACCCTTCACCCTTCAGAGACGTCATTCACGAACGACCCCCTTCAAAATTAAAATGAATTAAGAGATTGTAAGAGATAATTCACCTTGAACAGATAGATAATGATAATATCGATGAAAAGTTTTCT